GGGGGGGCTCACTCACTTGGATGGGTGCCGTGCTGAAATGAATCTTCCGGCTTGGGGCCGGGTCCTCTTCCTCCGAGAGCCCTGGGATCTCCATGCATCCTGACTCGGGCTCATAGGGGGGCTCCCCATCCTCCTCGTCCTCTTCCTCCAGAGCACTGCCCCCCGAGTCCTCCCCAAGCCCGCTGTAAGCGCTCACGTCCACCAAGTCCGCTTCTGAGAAGTCCTCCTTCTTGGACTCATCCGCCTCCTCAGGGGCCAAGTCCGGGGCCCGGCCATTGCCGACCCCCTTATCTGTCACAGCTGCCGCCGCCTCCTCCTCCTCGGGGGCCGCTTGGACCTTCTGCTCCTCAGGCGCGGGGCTGGCTGCGGTTGCCACGATGCTCCCATTCTCCAGGGCCGCGTGGACCGTCACCTCGGCCTGAATCACTTCCCCCGGCGCCGCCTCGGCCTCCGACTCCCCGCTCTCCTCCACCTCCACCGGTTTAATCTTGTGCACCTCCCGGGGCTTGGGGGGTGGCCGGGCGGGGGCCACTCGGTGTTGCGGGGGCTGCTGCCCTCCGGGGCCGCGCTCCTTCTCGGCTGGGGCATCCCCCGACGGGGCGGGCGGTGGCGGTGGTGGCTGGAACACCCGGGAACGCTTACTGACCAGCTTCGAGTTGACCTGCGGAGCCCCAGCGGCCGCGGCCCTGGGGGGCCCAGGCCCACGGTGGAGGCCGGTCCTCAAGTCTGCCTTCTCAAAGACGGCGCTGAGCTGGCTGACTGTCGGCGACACGGCGTCGGCGTCCAGCTTGTCCAGCGCCTCGGTGCTGCCATTGAAGCGCACCACGACGTCCAGCTTCCGATCCTGCAGGCCGGCCCGCTCTTGCCTTAGCAGCCGCCGCGCTGCGGCCTCCTTGTCGCCGCCTGCGGCAGCGGGGACGCTCCGTTCGAACAGTTTCCGCGTCTCTTGCAGCCGGGAGGGCGGGTGCGGCGGCGGCGCCGGCTGCGCGGAGGGCGCGGGCTTAGAGTCGAAGCGGCTAACGCGCTCCGACACGCTGGTGCCCAGCTTGAGCAGGGCGCTGTGGTCCACGTTCTCGTTCAGGCTGCTGGCCCGCGGCAGCGACAGGCGAACGCCGCGCTCGGGCGCCCGCGGGGCCTCTGCTGGACCCGCGCCGCCGCCCGCCTCGCCCGCCGGCCCCGCCGTCGTGCCCATCTGCAGGAACATACTTTTGATGCGGTGAACGTTGGAGCCATATTTCTTGTGGTGTGCTGCCTTGGGTGCCTCGTCGGGCCCGGGCGCGTCGGGCGGCTTCAGCGCCTGGATGCCCGCCTCGTAGGCACTGCGGTGCGGGGAGGCGCTCCGGAGGGGACCCCCGGGCCCCCGCGGCTCTGTCTTCATCATGGTGGGGGGAGCCGGGTTCGCATCCCCCTGCTCCCCGTTCTCCCCCGCCAACAGGCGAGTGGCCAAGTCGGGACCACTGTCCCCCCCCCCCGAAAAGAAACCCCGAGGGGCCTTTTCTAGGCTCCCCCAAAAACCAAGCTGCCAAAAACAGTTAACCCTGTTTTTAAAAAAAAAGGAAAAAATCTTGGAGCGTCCTGTGTGGGTAGCCTCCCCCAATCAAGCTGCCAAAGACAGTCAGCCCCTTTTAAAAAGCCCAAGCGGCCTGGTACGGTCGCCCCCACCCAAAACAGAAAAGCGGCCAGGCCGGTGGGAGAGCGCACCCTGCCCGCGAAGCAGCGGCGGCGGCGCCGGCTCACATCCTCCGAGGCGGTGTCAGCGGGGCTGGCAGCCCGGGCGTCCCCCACCCCGGCCGGAGGCCTCGGCTCTCGGGGGGCCGGGCACCCCGGCGCCCATGGCTGCTCCGTCGGCCCGGGCCGCTCCGCTGCCGCGCCTCCCTCCCTCCCTCCCTCCCCCCCGCGCCCCGAGCTCCGGTCTTTCTCTCGCTGTGCCCAAGCGGCGGCTGCCCGAGACCGAGCGGCTGCCCTTCTCGCCGCCGCCGCTGGGGGACTGGCACCTCTGGGTCCTAAAGGGATCGGATTTCCGGGGCCAGAGTCTGGGAGCCCACCCCTTCCCTTCCACCCAAATGAATCCCCTCCCCTGCCGGTCCCTCGCCGAGAGCCTTCCGCTGCCCCCCAGGCCCTGCCCAATCCTCTTCCCGCCTTCCATCCCAACCTCTGGCTGCGGTTTATCACAACCCACATAACGGCACCCCCATTAAATATTGGGGGTAGGGCAGTCTAACCACAGTGGTTTTAATGCGGCCCGTCTCCATCCAAACGTGAAGGGGGATCGGTGGGCAGGGGCAAAGGCTCATTTCCTTCCAGGTTCTTAGGGCTCCCTAGTGTTGTTCAAGGCCTTCATTATCAAAATCACTGGGACACGGTAAAAATACAGATTCTGGGCCCTCCCTCAAACTTTGTGAATCAGAAGCTCAGAGAGCGGCCCGGGAATCTGCATTTTACCAATTTTCCTCTAAGGGAATCTTATACACTCTATAATGTGTGAAACTTTGGTACAGTGTTGCTGGCCTTAGGAGGGAGGAGAGAGAATGGAGAAAGGAGATGGCCCCCATCACGAGAAGGGCAGGAGATCCCGAAAGCTACCCTTTGCCCTTTGGAAGTCTGTAGAGGTGTCCCAGTAGCCTGTCTGCTCTGCACCCCAGGCTGGAACGGAAGGGGCACAGTCCCCTTCTTCCTGCCCCTACCTACAGGAGCACTCTTGCCTCTGTGTGTGAAGATGTAAACCCCAAACCACAACCCCAGCGCCTCTGCTTTGCTCCAGATCCCAGAGATTGATGAACAGGGTGGACCCTAGGACCCAGAGAACAACTCAGGCACAAAGCCTCCCCCCCGCCTTCCCAGCTGCTTCCTGCATCTCAGGCTTTCCTGCGGCCTTTGCGTCCTCCCCCGCCCTCTTCCTCTCCATCCTCTTCCTCCTTTTACCCAGGCTTCCACTCTCTCCCGCTGGCGTGGAATGGCTGGCGAAGGGAGTCTTAGCACCGCACCACTGGAGGGTTGTGTGTGGATTTTGTGGGATATTAACCCGTTAGCACGTGCAAAGGAGCTCTGTACAGGGTTGGGGGTGGGGTGCGGGGAAGCCGCCTGGGAACTCTGGATATTGGGATGGGGAGGGGCCAGGAATCACAGGGCTGGATCCTGAGGCTGGTGCTAAAGGGGAGGGACGACTTGGGTTCTGAGCTGGCGAGCCGGAAATGAACCCAGGCTTACCAATGTCATCTGCCTCTTCTTTGCTTAGCTGCCCAGGAAACTGCCCCTTCCCCAGTTTTGCACTTTGGGAGCAGCAGGGTGAAGAAGCTCTCAGGCTCCCCTATTTCTTAACCCTTCTTAGAAGACCTCTTGCAGGAACAAGCTTTGGGACTTAGGTTTCCAAGCTCAAGGTTGGGGCTGGAAACCCCCTCCCATGGCCCTTCAATCCTGCTATGGGAGTTGGGGGAGGAGAGAGATCTCAACCAGTTGGGGCTTGGGGGGTTGGGCAGAGTGTCCTCAGAAGTTCTGTGTGAGTTGGAGGAGGGCACAGGCCAGTGGGTGTACTGCCCAGAATCAACCACACCCTTTGGGGTGAGTCATGGTAACTGCTCCCAGCCCAAGGGGTCTGTGCCCACGCCTCTGGCCAGGTGGGGAAGCCTCTCCCGCTTTGGAGGGAAGGAGGAGTTGCTAAGTTTCTCAGATGACAAGCCCAGAGATCCTGGGACCCCCCCCCCCAACATCTCCAGCAACAGCTTGGAATGAACTGGAAATATTGGCAAGCCTGGGTCTCCCTCCTCCTGAGGCTCCCAAGGATGAAACTCCTTTAAACGCTTTGGGATGCAAGAGGGTGGAGCTGGCCCAGAGCTTGGGTGACTGAAGCTAAGGGGTAGGATTATTATTTCATAGGCTCCTGGTTAGTTTAGCAACACCCGCAGCCAGAATTCCACAAGAAGCTTTTAGGAGAGATGCTAAATGCTTCCCCAAGGCCAGGCACCAGACTGGCAGGCCTGTGACATAGGTGGAGAATGGGGTGTAATCTCCCCAATCTCCTCCCTGCCTGCCTGGGGCAATAATTTCACCTACTGGGAGGGGAATTTCATTTGGGAGGATTACCATCCAAATTGAAGGGTTTAAACCTAATTTTCATTTCTCCTACGGTAATCCTCACCAGTAGCACCCCAGGATAATACCCTTTCTCTTTCCATCGTCCTTTATGGAGGAGGCCTTGATGGCGAAGCTGCCTGGTAGTCTTCTCTGTTTGTGTGGAAGTTCTTCCTGACCTTGTCCCGCAGACAGATGGCGGAGTGAGTCCCAAGACTGACCCAGGAGCCAGACTGCCAGGTTTGAAATTGTGGCTCTACCACTTACTAGCTGTGTGATGTGAGGTGGGTGGGGAAGCAGGCACCTGTGCCACCAAACCAAAACCAAACTCCTTGCGGTGGAGTCAATTCCAACTTATGGCAACCCCATGTGTTACAGAGTAGAACTGCTCCATGGGGTTTTCTTGGCTGTAATCTTACAGAAGTAAGATGGCTACACCTTTTTTTTGAGGAGCTGATGGGTGGGTTCCAACCGCCAACCGTTAGGTTAGTAGTCAGCTCAAACTGCTTGCAGCTGCCGGCCTGTACCACCAGCCCTTGCCAAAAAGGCCTGAGTCTTCTATAGGCAGAGAACTGCCCCCAGCCCTCCTCCCAGTAAAGCCCCTCCCTATTTTCCCACACACACCCCAGGCCCCATGGAGGCCCTCTGGGAGGTTCTTTTTAATGCTCTGCCTGGAGGCTTGCTAGCTTCAAACGCTAGGTGTGACTGCAGAGGCAGGCGATGAAGGCTGGGAGGGGCCTGATTTGTGATAAGCTCCACGCCCTTAGCACCCAGGGCTCAGGCCCAGGCTGGGTGCCAAGGCTGGCTTCTCTTCCCAGCCCTGGGACCTTGAGACAGCCTCTGAAAGTGGCGTTTCTACGGCTGTGATCATCTGAGCAGAAACCAGCTCAGACCTCGCGCTTCGGCGGTGCTGTGGTGACCAGTGATCCCTGGCCCACCTGCTCTCCTCCATCCATCCTCCTCTGCCAGGGGTCTGGGCATCAGCTCAGATGCCAGAAAGGTGTTCATGTGTGTACATGCTCACATGTGGGAGAAGTCAAATCCAGAATGCCTTTAGTGGCCCTTAACTGACCCCTTCACAGGGGAATGAGGAAGACTGAGGAGACCTGTGGGAGGAAATGACTTAGCCAGTAGAGAAAAGAGGCAAGTTGTGGGATTTAGAAGGCCTGGATTGAGTCCTTGCTCCACCCATTTGCTGGGTGATCTTGGTCATGTCATTTCCCCTCCATAAGTCTCAGTTTCCTCAAAAAGCTTAATGTGAATGTCTGAGTCGGTCTCCCAAGGATGGATGACCCTAGGTCTCCCCCACTCCGTGTGTGTGTGTGTGTGTGTGTGTGTGTGTGTGTGTGGGTGGGTGGGTGTAGCAGAACAGAACATGGACTTTAAAGCCAGATCACCTTTGTTAGAATCCCCAACCTGCCACTTCCCAGCTTCTGGACTTCGACAGATTTCCTCGTCTGTGAAATGGAGATGTTATACCAACCTCATAGAGTTGTTGGGGGATTAAATGGATTCTAAAATGCATAGAGCATTTAGAATAGCTCCTGGCACAAACTGGAGTTTGCAGTGTTGCCCGTTGTGTGTGTGTCTGAGCATGTATGGATGTGTGTGCATGTGTGCATGCGTGTGAGCAGATGTGGCTGAAAATGAACATTCCTGTTTGCATCACGGGGCTTTGGACCTCTCATTTCTTTCCAAGGTCCATTACAAGAAATTCTGAAATATAAGCACCCCCTGCCTGCAGCTCCCCAAAATCTTTTGGGATCATTCTTAGAGTGAAGGTGGCCTCCCTTCTCTGCCTCCCAAAGGATTTTTTTCACTCCTGCCGCTTGGTTCTCCTGCAGGGAGAGGGGTCCCTTGGGGAGACTGGGAGACTGCCTTGCTGCCCATGTCCCTCTACTCTGTCCCCCTCGCTTTTACTCATTCTCCATAGTCACTCTAAAGCCACTTGGAAAGTTCAGATACATCTTGGAGCCTCAAGAAAGAGGAGTCAGAGTGTGTGTGTGTTGTTGGGGGGAGGGGGTGGGACAGACAAAACATTTCTCCAAATCATCAGTTGCTTTAAAAGAAAGCCTATATTTAGTTGGGCTTAGAGGGGCTGTAAATATGTATTTTGCAATTCAGACAGCTATAGCCATGGGAGCTCCTGGGATACACAGGGAGGTCAAAGAAAAAAAAAACTAACCGGAAAGATTGGGCAATATATTTTGTCATCAGCAGATTCGAAGAACTCTTACTGCTGTCTGCTCCAACTGCTAATACATTCCTGTCTTTTATGATTTCTATTTTTCCTCTGCCCTCTGGGTCTTGTGCAGTGGGTGCCTGAGGAGGGAGCTGACGCTCAGAGTCACCTTCTGCCAGCCTCCACCTCACCTACCCTGGGTCAGGGGAACAAGCCTCCCACTCCTGCCCCCTCCCATCCCGACTGGCTCCACCAGGATCCGCCAGGCTGGCATGGCACCTGGCACAGATACAGGCTCAGTAACGGCAACTCTCACCTCTCCCACACTCAACCCCTGAACTTTAGATGACCTTGAGGGTTGGGAGGGACATGTTCAGAAATCCTGCCACTTCAAGTCAGTTGTACTTCTGGTAGGTTTGAACCACCAACCTTTCGGTTAGCAGGCAAGCACTTAACTGCTGGGCCACCAGGGCTCCTTACTTCAGACAACTCTTCTTTCATAAGAAAAAAA